GATTTCGTTGTATGAACTGTGTGGTTGGTCGATAAGGAAGTGCTTGCAGGATGAAGTAACTCACCACACTGGAATGCTTCAGCAAGGAGCTGCGAAGAGTAACCATCTTCCAAAGGGCAGTGTTTCCAATAGAGCTGTCTGAGGAAGGATGGCTATAGATCAGCTGGATCCAAAAGCAGAGCAGCGGAAGGGAAGGAACCCAGATCATTAGCTAAAGAGGCATTCAGGTGTAATGCCGCCTCATTGATTGACTTGCTGGGCAGCTCTTGTATTGGCAGTTTCCCAGGCATTCAGGTTTTCAAACCAGAGCTTCTAACAAATCATTCTGTGTTGTATTTTTTTTACCCCAGCAGGGTAGGTGCTGTGAATGGCCATTGGAAGCAAAGGTAGAACATTGGAATGACTTAAAGGAAATGTTCAGTTGAACTTCAGGAATAATCATCATGAAATGTAAAAACTGAAAATATGGAAAAATGAGGATGTCTATGGCTGCTTTGTCTGTATACCCACTAATGAAGCTGTGTGCATTGTGGGTTTTAGTACCTTAGAGAAATGAAGAGGGCTTTGGGTGAGCATGAGTTTTAGGGAATCACATCTTTTAAGTCTTGCAAAGTTGGGAGGTGCTTGCCTGGATCATCTTCTTATTCCTGACGGTTTAAAATTTCACATTGGAAATGACACTTGGAAAGCAGAAAATGAAGTTCCTGTGGTGTGAACTTCTGATGGAAAAAAAAATGCAAGTAAATTCACAAAGGAAATTAGTATTTTCCATCTTTTCCCATGCAAGGAGTTTTGCCCCACAGTGGTTTGGTGGCTAGGACAGTAGTGTCTTTTGAAGATATTTTGTGCAATGCTTCTATATTTAACCACTGCTTCCTGTATTTAAACTCACCCTGTACTTCTAGGAGTTGTGTATTGTGTTTCCAGAATTACATTTCACTCCCGCTGCAGCAGTTCCATAAGCAAGGGATGCATTTAATGAAATGTTTCCCTTGTAAACCTGAGGCTTTCCTCAGCTTTTTTTGTGTCCAGAGTATGGGTTGTGCTTTTATAACCAAAGTAAATGCACAAGAGCTAATGTAGCTGAATCAATGAAACAGATCTTTGGAGTTGTGGCACTTTCACTGGGACACTTCATACTTGGTTAACCTGGTCTGAAGATAACAAAAGAGAACACAGACTTTTGGATATGGGCAGGAGAAGAGTCCCTTGGTGCTTGTGTGCTTTTAGTTAGTATTACATTGCAGGTGTGCTAATATTCATGGAGGGTATTCATGCTCAGAATTTCACATCATAGTTTGGGTTGGAAGAGACCTTAAAGCTCACCTAGTTCCAACCCTCTGCCACAGGCAGGGATGCCTTCCACTAGACCAGGTTGCTCCAAGCCCCGTCCAACCTGGCCTTGCACACTGCCAGGGATGGGGCAGCCACAGGAGAGAATCCGGGCACCCTGTGCCAGCGCCTCAGCACCCTCACAGGGAAGAACTTCCTAGTATCTCATCTAATCCACCCTCTGTCAGTTTACAGCCATTTCCCCTTGTCTTGTCCCTACAGGCCCTTGTCAAAAGCCCATCTCCAGCTTTCTTACTGGCCCCTTTAGGCTCCAAAAGCAGCTTTAAGTTCTCCCTGGAGCCTTCTCCAGGCTGAACAAGCCCAGCTCTCTCAGCCTGTCTCCATAGCAGAGGTGCTCCAGCCCTCAGAGCATCTTTGTGGCCTCCTCTGGACTTGCTCCAGCAGCTCCACATTCTTCTTATGTTGGGACCCCAGAGCTGGATGCAGGACTGCAGGGGGGTCTCACCAGAGCAGAGCAGAGGGGGAGAATCCTCTCCCTTGACCTTCTGGTCACTCTGCTGGTGATGCAGCCCAGGACACGGTTGGTTTCTGGGCTGCAAGTGCACACTGCTGGGTCATGTTGAGCTTAATTTAGAGGAGGAATGGCCAGTATTTCACTTGTGGGTTTCCTTCCCGTCTGAAAACCATCGTCCTATTTGTAAGAATGCCCATCAGTCTGCCCTGTTTCTTGCACACGTCAGAGCTGCTTTTGATGGCTCACGGCAACAGGGTACTGGGTGCAATGACATTGGCTCACCACATGAGTGTAAATCCAGCTGTGGCTCTCTGAAGTGCTATTGCATCTTTGTCCAGCCTTTCATAATGCTATTTTCTTGCTTCTTAAGAGTCCTTCCTATTGTTAGAAGTAAAGGCAGCATTGCTACCATTCTCATCCTCATCATCATTACTGGTGTTTGTTCAGGTTCGAGCCTCTTATTTTGTACTTTAAAGAACTTTAGTATATATCAGCCATTTCCCAAATATGATCAAGTTTCTTCAGAGTCACACAGCATTTATGAAGGAGCTGTGTTTGATCAGCTACCTCTGGCAAAGGCAATGGCTGAGCAGACCTGTCACTTTACTGAGTAGGATTTCTGCATCAGTGGGAGAACTAAAGTATTTGTTTATGTAGCATTTGTTATTTATATAGGTGAAAACTGTATTTCTTCTCATATACAGGAAGCACTAGAAAGAAACTGTTCCTCAGTTTAAAATTGCTCTATTGACCTGTCTCCCACTGATCTGTATAATCCTCCATCATCCACATATTAAATCATGCTGTTGTCCTGGTATAGGAGCTGCTCTCTGGCTGCCTGCAGAGCTCTGTCACTGGGTTTTACTGTGGCTAGTACTGGCTTTTGTACTTCTTGGAGTACGGGTTCAGTCTCAATGGGCGATTAGTTTTACAAAGAACAGCTAAACCTGACACTTCGTAATACAGCTCTGCTCTGTTCCTGCCTCTTCTCCTGGGTGCAGAAAAATGATCAGACATGGCAGTCATGAGCAGTCATGCCTTGACCTCTGAAATATATATATAGGAGTAAAGTAGGAATCAAAGGTCAAGTTAAACCTTGCCAGAGGTGATAAGCAACACGATACTTCATAGCTATTAAGAAATGGGGTTGCTCTTCAGCAAGGATCAAGCTAGGATTAAAGTGTTTTCATATTGCTCCAAATGTAGTTGTGGCTGTTACAGATCAGTGTTGAAGTGGGGAGAGGGGAGGCTGGGACACAAGCAAGAGGAGGATGGTGGGACCGGGGATACAGCTGTGTTCTGGGAGCTCTGGAAGAGCCTGAGGTAGCCTGGGCAAGCCTGGTGTGGTGCATGGGCTGCAAGCAGCAAGGAGGTCATGACACAAATCCCAGATCTGGGCTTCTGAAGGAATGAGCTTCTTCAGGGCAGATCCATCAGAAGGACTCCTGGTGTGTAAAATTCTGGGAGGAAGTACACAGAAGAATCATGTATCTTCTTGGTGAGGTTGTTGTGCTGCTTGGAAAGGTGGGACCTGGGAGGGGTGACATTGATGACACAAAATATTAATACAGTAATGCTTCTAGTACAGAGAAGAGAGGTAGAATAAAAGAACTAAAATGAGAGATTACTGCTCCAGGGAAAGACAGTGTTGCCATTGCAAAAGTGATGAAACACTTTAGAAGAA